CCCTCGCCCGCGCAAAAACCTGCTTGTCCGTCCACTGTGCTGGAAAGCTGAAGCTCAACCGCTGTTTCTATATGGTCGGGGTAGAATACCACCCCCATCCTTCCAGCAACATTTCAAAGCCCCCTGCCCCCGAAAAGGGTAGAGCGAAGTTGAAGGCTCCAGCACTCCAAAGGCTACTGAGAGTCTCCGTTGCAGTTCCTTTTTGGGCTTACCCAACTTTATATTCTAGGATCTCAACCATAAAACTGGTTAACCTAAAAAGGGGCTACAATGGAGACGACAGGTAAAAGCCTACATTGCCTCGTTCTTTTTTTTTGAGCTGGGCATCGTAAGCCTCGCGGATCTGGGCGAACCGGGCACTCAATGTCGGATCATTCCTGGGGTTTGGGTTTAGGGTTTAGGGTTTAGGGTTTTATGGGTAGTTCTCTAAATTAGGGTCTTTTCGGGGGGGTCCTGTGTATATTGGGGACCCAAAAGGAACCCTAATTGAGAGAACTATACAGACAGCTATTTTTTAAGTGCAGCGGCATATAAGGTTTAGGACCGTTTAGGACTTAAGGTTCAGGATTTAGGCTTAAGGGTTTTTCGTTTGGCCAAGATGTTAGGATGCTTGGCATGGGCTTATTGCTTTGGGGGTTCTGCGGGTTCAGGTGTATGAATGTAAGGTGTTTAGGGATGTTTGGGCCTCATAAGAGCATGTGCATGTGGGTTGCGGCAGGGACAACGACGGTGAGACTTGGCCTTCACACTTTATATGACCTTTGCCCCAAATGACTTACCTTTTCAACGATCTATACAGATATCATCATCAGGAACCCTAAAAAAGTATGTGTCAAAGATTGCCAGGTAGGCAGCACGAAAACTGCTGCCTGTTCATTCTAGAAAGATCCGGATAGGTTTTGTCAGCGTTGGGGCGGTGAGGTTGCCGTAACCCTAAACCCTAAACCCTAGAGTAAGGTTCAGCATTGTAACGATGCAGTCGGAGGCGACGGCTCAACTTGCATAATGTCAGGGCCTCAGTAATTAGAACAGTGTTTTTGGGGCCCATTATACTATATTATAATGAGGAACCCCCAAAATAGTATAGGCAATTATTTAGGCCCCTATATAAAGTTTTTTAACCCCAATCGCCAAAAAAGTATTGGATCCGGCAGAAGCAAAGATCTCCACGTGTGCAACACTCGAAGGATTGAGAAATGAGCCATGTTCCACGCGTCCTTCAACCTCTTCCGAATCGAAGGGCCTCAGAGCTTCAACGAACATGCGAGTCTGGCGGCTGCGTCTTGTCCGGATGGTACTTCAATGAAAGCTTTCGCCAGGCCTGCACACAGTAGGACCAGCACCGTTCGACACCATCATCATCAGCAGCTGCATGATCATCATCCTCGCGCACAACATGCTCATCCGTTTCAGCCTTGTCCGCATCATCGTCATCTTCCCCGCACCACAGCAACAGTACTAATGATAACGATACCGTATACCACACAGATACAAGTGATGTGACGGTAGTAAGGCGAAACAATAATCAGACTGTCATCATCTGCAAGATGCTGAGACACATCGTCAAGCTCCAACTCTTCATCTTCCGTTTCACCATGGTCATTGCCATCGTAAGCAGCCGAAACGGCGACCGAAACGACCTCACAATCAATAACAAGACAAGCGTAGAAGTCGCCAGTTGCCTTAGTAGAGTCTAATGAATCAGCGGCGATGCGCTGACCAGATGATAATTGCCGGGAGCCCTGAACGAAGTCTAATGAGTAGAAGCTGTACTGTGGCCCACCAGGCTAAGTAGGCAGCGTGCACTCTTGAAGAAGTTCAATCGAAGTGGCATTCGAGCCGGGCTTGGCTGAGAAGCATGTAGACTTTTCTGGGCCTGCAAGTAGCAAGCTACCGACCTATGATCGAGGCGGCTTCCATGTTGTAGACCCAGCAATAGTAACCCCCCACAATGACTTATATAGGAACTTCTGCAGAACCTCGTGTAAACTCTTGCAGAACGGTAGGCCTTACACTAAGCCTACGAGCCTGATACACGTTCGCAGTCTCCCAGCCTGCTTTATCTCCTTGTCTGAGGCGCCGCTGTCTAAGCCCAGCTCCTCCCCCGAGAAGACTGAAGATGGTGTGGGTGTAGGGTGAAGGGTTTGGAGGTTGAGGGCGTTCGGGCTTAGGGTTTAGGGGCCTACCCTAAGGGTCCAAGTACCTAATAATCATATACTCTCCCAAATATTAACCTAGATAACTACTATCCGCAACCAAAGTTCCTGATTATTGAGTCCTTTGGACCCTTAAGAACCCTAAACCCTAAACCCTAAACCCTAAACCCTATTAGGGTTATGGCCTACAGTCTGGGAACTTGGGGCCTTCGGGCCGACGTTTTAGGATTCACTGCCTGGCAGTTTCAGGACCCCAGCCTTTCTTCAGAGATTCAGAAACGACGGTTTATAGGGTTTTGTTTAGGGTTTAGGGCTTAAGGCCTGTAGGGCCTGTAGGGCCTGTAGGGCTTTAGGGATTGGGGTTCCAGAGTTTAGGCTTTGGGAATTTGAAGGTTTCAGGTCTAAAAAAAGGTTTGTAGACTCTTTGCATGGTAGGATCCGCTTTAGGACACGCGAAGACGCGACATCCTCCACCCATCCTAGTTCGGCAAAGAGGCCAGCAGTGCATGTAAAGCTTACTGTGGGCTGAAAAAGGTTTGGTGCTTAGGGTATATAACGGCTTAGGGTATATAATGGCTTGGGGTATATAATGGCTCAGGGTTGTTTGGGCATGCATGCCACAACGGCTTCTTCCCTGTGCAATCCTTGCTTGAGTGAGCAGTCTGTAGGGCCTGACTATAGTAGGTTCCGAGCACAAGCACCCGAACAAAACTCATCCATAAGGTTGGGATATCCCATAGCCCTCTCCTTAACCCTAAGGGTCCATGTACCCAAATAACATATACTTTGGCCTTAATGTAGTCCCCATATAGGTACTTTGGGGGCACTGTATATACTATTTAGGTACATGGACCCTCGGGGTCAGTAAGCCAGTAAGGTAGGGACCTCTCCCACCTACAAGTTTATGTTTTGGGTGCTTTTTTGGGGCTCCTGATATAGAGCAGGTACACCCGATAGGGCTCCAGATGCCTAAATAGCCAAAAAATTAGGGTTTGGGGTGTAGGGTTATGTTTAGGGTTTAGGGTTTAGGGTTTAGGAACCCTTAACGCTAAATCGTAAACCCTAAACCCTAAACCAACAAGATCTCCAAGTCACTAAACCCCATCCTATAGGCTCCTATCCTACCCCTTTTTTTGGGGGGTACCTACTCTTCTATAACAGATGATGGCCATCAGACTAGGTACTAGGTACCCTGAAGAAGGGGTAGGGTATGACCCTCTAGGCACGGAGCTCCCACCCCTGGACCCGAAGCCCTCCCCAAGCCTACACTCTACCCATGGTCTCCTTTGTAGATCCTTTTTTTGTGAACAACCAGCTTTATGGTAAGGATCCATCAATATAAACTTGGGTGAACGGAAAACAGGGAACTACACTGGAGACTTGGAGACTATAGACAAACCTTCAACCCTATAAACCCTCAATCCAGCAACTCATGGATTGGAATCACAACTCCCGCAGAGATTTTAATATAGGGGCCATAATACTTAGAATAGGGTTTTGGGGTATATTATACGAAAAGGTATAATAAGGAGCCCCTCGAATAGTAAAGGCAATTGTTTAGGCCCTACATTAGGGCTTCTGTGTGTTCGATGACCATAAGGGAACACATCTTATTTGGGGGAGCACGTTGCACTCCTGAGCAATTTAAGTTCAGGGTTGAGAGCAAAACCTTTACACAACCTTGAGAAGAAAGCAGAATACAAATCGATGCACCCTAAACCCTAAACCCTAAACTCAAAACTCGTAAGATTCGAATTCGACTCCCAACCTCCACGCGCCCTCACCGCGCTCTCCCAGAACCCGAAAACCGTGGCCGGAATCCCGAAGGACAAGAACCGGAATCGAAGAGACAAGCATTCCGTTTTTGGGTCAAGGAAATCTACGGATAATCGACAAGGTTTATGTAGGGTTTGGGGTCATGGCTAGAAACCTACCGATCGAGAGCTGGAATAATTACCCTCCACCCCAAACCCTAAAACCCTAAACCCTCAACCCTCAACCCTCAACCCTCAACCCTCAACCCTAAACCCTAAACCTAAATCCTAAACCCTCAACCCTAAATCCTAAACCCGCAACCCGAAACAAAGGGGGCGCCTCATAGAGAGTGGCCTCGGAAGCGCACTCGTCCGCGCATGAAAATGGCTCGGACCACTCCCCATGGCTGCCTCACGGTTTAGGGTTTAGGGTTTAGGAGCCTTAGTAATTAGAATAGGGTTTTCGGGGATAGTATATTATAGTTCTTTTGAGGGCTGTAAGGTTATATTAAAAACATCGCCCTTACATTATAGTATGATTCTGTGTGAGCAAGGTAAACAGCTGGTGGTAGGTTCTACGCCAGGTCAGCCTATCCAGGATAGCTTCAGTGTCAAAACAACAAAGCTCGTAGTTTGGCTCCGTTGCGAAGATGTATGATGTATAAGCTTTGAGGCTTGGGGGAAACATGCAATGGGTTTTGGTTCTAGTAATAGTAGGAGCAGTAGCAGTA